AACTGCTTTTAGAATCTGAAAGAACATATATACGTAATCTCCATTTCGTTGGCTTTTTCGGGGTGTAAGTAATAAAGGAAATTTTCCCTTTTTTAAGAAAACAACAGTTGACTTATTAACACATAAGTTTTGATAAGAAACAAAATATTTTATAAATTTTGAATTGAATTAATTGTTTCTAAATGAAGAGATCAAATTTGAAAAAACCTTTTCTTTTTCAAAATTTAGTAAAGAATGGAATTCTTCTATTGAAAACTCGAGACCAATATGGCTGTAAATCTGGTAATATTGTATAATTAATTCCTATGTTTACTGCATTTATTTTATCAATAATTTTTTTCATTCTTTAATTCTTCAGTGTAGAAAAGCTTGAAATAATGAATGGATATAGTACGATAATGAAATGTTTAGTCTAATATTTCTTTGCCCAACAAAAAAATTATAATCATAAATATAATTATCATCATTATATCACACCAGATAGTGGATCTGGTATTAATTTGCAATTTGATAATTAATAAAATTATTATTCTCATTACTGATGGAAAGTTTTCTCATTTATTTATTATACTTATAACGGAAATATTTCAGAATCTGAATCGTATATCTCTACTATATCATCTGTAAGATAATTTATATCATCTTCTTTCTCGATTGAACTCACGATTTACTTCTTGCATACAATCATCAATATTATCACTATCCAAAATTCTTATTTAGTTTGCAACTCATTTTAAATTTTTAGGAGATTTCAGGTATTTCAAGTCTTTCAGATAATATCAATTTATAGTAATTTGCATTATGATATGTTTTTAGTTATGCCAAAATACAGACTGACCATCTAAATCTCGAGAAAAAAGCTGTTGATCCAACAACAAACTATCACATTTATTTACAAATGTGTTGTATAAACACTTCTATATCCACTCGACACAATATCGAATTACATATATATAATCTGATGTATACAAGTCGGACGTTTCAGTAAATAAAAAATGTGTGATTTGACGAAGTGTGATTTGACGAAGCTCTTGTGATAAAAATTGATATCGAGTCATACTCGACAAAGAAATGCAAAGGATTAAAGGAAGAACCAGAATTCTTCTATTATTTTTTTGTTTAACATTTCATTAATTTGAGTTTCAATTTCCTTTTTATGACACTTTGGGAGTTTATGATTATGATTTGATATTAATGGATTTAAAATTTCTAAGTGTTACTTCATGCTGAATTAAGTTAATACAGATGAATTAAGTTAATACTATCAAGATTGAACATGGAGTGATAGGAGACTAAAATTCTTTCAAAGTTTCGCGATATTCATCTATATGTTTACGAAATTTGGAAGCAAATTTAGGAAAGTCAAAATTATTTTGATCGTTTTCAATAGAATTATTTATATTTTTGATTCATCAGTGTTTATGAAGCATATTGTCATCTATTGTCTATTGTTCAGATATCTGGTTTATATACCTGTCCCGAATTATTGGATTATCGGAAAGTAATTTTGTTTTCTTTTTTCACGACAATGAAACATGTTTTTTTAATAGCATATATGTATTTTATTTAATTATATATTGATCATTATGGTCTTTAAGTAGCATGATTCCATACTCGTAAAACTTCTGATCTTTATTTGCAAAAAACTGATTCAAGAGGTTTTTAACATCTTCATCTGAAATAAACGTTTTATCATCTAAAGAATTTTGTAAAGATCGAAACAGATACTAATTCGAGAGTGCCAAATCTGATGAATATAGTGGGTGCGGTAATATCTTCCTTCACTTCTGACGAGTCATTAAATTCGTGTAAATAGCGTGATGAAACACTTTTTCTTGTTAATCTCTTTTATTTGATGGAATCATCAAATTCTATCATTAAATTTGATGGAATTTTGTTTAATTTATCTAATTGATTGCATGATTCCGAATTAATTGTATAATTGTCAAATAGAAGCTCAAAAAAAAAAAATGTTATAGAATTTATAGTTCAGTGAAATTTTATATGTGATTTTATTATTGAATGTTGTCAGCAACATCACTATTTCATAGTTGGTACCTATTTATTTTTCTTTAATACACATATTTCAAATGTTATAAACAGATACGCGCAATCACGCATAATTAAATATATTCATTCATATATTTCAGCTAAACCCGTACATTTTTATTTATTGTTTTCACTGCTCAGTTAACAGTTATAGGCCCAGATTACGAAAGAAACAATAAATAATTAGGTAAAGTACAATTAAATTGAAAAAGCATGTGGATTAATTATCCGGCCTTGAGCAAACGTGAAATATAATTCTAATCGTGATGGAATATGAAATTGTTCGTATTAATAAATTGAAAGGATTGAAAAATTGGACTCATGAAAATTTCAAGTGCGCGTTATTTTGAAATCCTGCAGTGCATGGGAAATAAATACAGGTGAATCAATTCTTTCTGTACCAGAAGATGATGCGGCAAATCGTTTTACTAGGTGCTGCCTGGATAAAATTTGATAGTACAGCTCAATGCATAATTGCTATATCAGTGGATGAAAAACCATTTTCGCATATTATCAATTGTGAATCGGCTAAGGATATATGAAAAAAGTTGGAATCTATTTACAAATAAAAATCTGATACTAGCATATACATACTATTGCAGCAATGGTACAGTTACCAGAAGAAATCGGACGATGATATTGTTATTCACATCATAAAACTCGAGAATCTTGCACAGCGCTTGCAAATTCTGGGTGAGAAAATTCCAAATCAAATGATTATTATTAAAATACTTATGACATTACCTCTGTCATTCAAATATTTTATTAATGCGTAGGAATCAACTTAACCCAACGAAAGAACTCTTACAAATCTTATTTCAAGGCTCACCATTGAGGAAACAAGGACAGGAACCGATAAAAGAACAGAAACATTGTTTTTATTACTAATAAGTATCAATATAAGAAAAATTTCAAAAAAGGCAACGTTGGACCAGGCATATATCATTATTGCCACAAACCAGGGCATTGAATCAAGAAATGCAGAAACTGAAAGGCAGCAACATCAAACAAAAAATATATAGGAAAGAAAGCAAAGACACTCATTGGAGCCATGTCTGCAGAATATAATTTAGAAACATTCAGTGATGCATGAATTCGGGTGCGATTGAGCACATATCAAATCGTCGCGAATGATTCTTGTTATGTAAAAAATTTGACACAGTAGAGAATATTAAGATAAGTGATGGAAAATATATTTAAGCAATTGGATCAGGAGATATCGATATTCTTGCTTTCAATGGAAAAGAGTGGATGCGAAAGTATCTCAGTAATGTTTTTCATGTACCAGAACTGAATTTCAATCTTTTTTCGGCGCGTGTAGCTCTTGACAAGGAACTACGACAATATTTCGATAAAAAAATATACACATTTGAAGAATGGAAATATTGTTATAATGGGAAAAAGAAAAGGTAAGTTATTTGTAATGAAATTTAAAGTCGTTACAGACGAGCATCAGGCAAATATAGCAATGCGTAATTCTTTTTTCTTCTGGCACAAACGAATGGCTTATCAGAATGTGGATCAGATGAAAAAATTCTAAGATTCGAAAACATCATTTTTAAGGATCAGAAGTTTTGCTGCGAAGATTGCATTTTAGAGCAACATTATATAAAATGCACATTATATAAAATGCACAGACTATCATTCCCAAGAAGTGATACAAAATCTGAACGCATTGGAAAACTCATTCATGCAGATCTTTCAGGTCGAATGCAAGAAAATTCTCTTGGAGGAGCTCGATTTTTCTTAATGATGAAAGATGACTACAGTCACTGAAGAATATCAAAAATAAATTAAAGATATCACAATGTCTAGAGGATTTCTTTAAGAAGACTGATAAACATTTAGAAAAAGGAATTAAGATCTTCAGATCGGATAATGGCCTTCAGTTTACCAATAAAGAAATTGAACTAATACGTCGATATGACATCAGATACCATTTACTCCGGAATGATTGCGCCGAACAGGAAAACAGAACTGTAGTTGACTTAGCAAGAACATGCAGGGAAACTGCCAATCAAAATATGGGTTGAAGCAGTTAATTACACTGTTTACACTTTAAATAGAATCGAAACCAGTGGAAAGAAAGGAATAACACCTATTGAACTGCGGCTCAAGAAGAGACCGAACATTTCAAGGTTCAGAACCTTCGGAGAAGAAGTATATTTTCATATCCCTAAAGAGAAGAGACGAAATTGGGACATCAAAGGCGAAAAAGGTGTTTTCGTTGAATATGATGAAAACACAAAAGGATTCTGAATCTGGCTTCTTGAAAGAGGACAAATTAAAATACATAGGGATATAAGATTCACAGATCAGCACTATGAAATTAATTCAAATGAAGAATGGGATTCAGAATCAAATACCATAATTTTTGAACATCAGAAAGACGACTCAAAATAAATGTCGAATTGAAAACCATTATTCAGTCGGAAAACAACGAGCAAGTAAATGAAGAATCAAACGATCAAAAAAAAATCAATACAAGATCGACATTTGAGAGACAGAAATAAAATATGCCGATCACACAGGCTCACGTAGAAATATTGTAATTACAAAATACCATGAACCGGAAAGCTATGATGACGCGAATGCCATCAAATGGAAAGAAGCCATGGATGACAAAATTGATTCTTTAAGAAAAACTTAAACATGGACATTAGTAAATCCGCCATCAGATCATTAAGTCATAGATAATCTGTCATGGACTTACAATTGAAAATAAATAGCGATGGAAGCAACGATTCAAGGCGAGACTCATTATTAAAAGTTTCAAATAAACTGTTGGAGTTGACTATCAGAAACGTTTAGTTCTGTAAAGTTAAATTCGATTCAATAAGAACTATCCTAACTATCATAGCTTCGAACAAAATATATTTACAGCAATTTGATGTCAAAATAGCTTTTCTTCACGGAGAATTCGACGAGGTCATCTACATGCAGCAACCAAAGAGATACAAGGATGGAACCGACCGTGTTTGCAAGTTGAATCGTAGTTTATATGATTTAAAGCAGGCATCAAGATACTGAAATCATCGTTTTACAGTGGTACTGAAGAAACATGATCTCACGTCCATCAGCGCAGATTATTGCGTATTTACAAATGGAAACGATCAGGACCAACTGATTTTAGTGATCCATATCGATGGATTAATTAGTGCAACGAACAAGTCATCTATAAAAAAATTGTTAGCTGAACTCCGCAAAGAATTTGAAGTAACATCCAATGAGATAAATACATATCTAGGATTACAGATTAAGCGACTGGCAGATAGTTTTTATTTTTGCATCAGGAGGCTTACACCAAGAAAATTTTGCGATTTCGGATGGAAAATGTTAACGCAGCAATCCCAGCAGACCAAAATCAACTATGCATGGAGCGACTACAAGGAAAAATCAGAGTTCCCATATCGATAAGCGGTAGGAAGTTTAATGTACTTGTCAGTGAGTATTAGACATTACATTTGCAGTAAAGAAAACCAATATTTGGAAAAACTCAACAAAATTCACTGGAATGCAGTAAAAAGATTAGCTTAAGAGTCAACACGACAACGAATAATAATTCTATCAACTATTGAAGCCGAATACATAGCAGCTAATCAAACTGTGAAAGAGATCATATGGATGAAAAGTCTGATTAATGATTTAACTATGTTCAAGAACTTACAACGATTCTTTATGTAGATAATTTGAGCGCAATCAAGCTTATTAAAAATCCAGAATTTCATCGAAGTAAGCATATTGAGTAAGTACGCTATCATTTTATACGAGACAAATTCAATGAAAAGGAGTTTTTTCTGCAACATATATAGCATCGGAGGATCAGCAGATAAATGTTAATAAAAGCCTTGAGAAGAACAGTATTTGAGATACAAAGAAATCGACTGAATATCAAGAGTATCGAAGACATAATAGGCACATAGAATTATGACAATTAAACATAATAAACGTACACTAAACAAAGTTTCAATTCATTTTTAATGGGAATATTATAAAATTTAAAGTTCACTGAAATTTTATATGTGGTTTTATTATTGAATGTTATCAGCACATCACATTTTATAGTTGGTACTTATTTGTTTTTTTTCGATACACATATACTTCAAATGTTTTGTAAACAGATACGCGCAATCATGCATAATTAAATATATTCATTTAGTTAAACCTGTACATTTTTATTTATTGTTTTCACTGCCTAGTCAAAAAAAAAAAAAAAAAAAATAACTCCTTTGAATCCCATCAAACAGAGAGCATTTTTTTTTTTTTTGTGAATGTTGGCTTTCGAAGTGTTTTGCGCTGGCTCATCTCTATTGCTCCATGATCATTTTTGTTTAACATTATTGTAAACGATTTGAGAACATATGAAACCCAAATATCAAATTTCAAAACAAAATCAAGTTTATTTCATGTGATTATGAACAGTCGAATTCGATTCAATCTTAATTTCTCGAGTTTATTCGTCGATTTGTTTCAATCAATGTCTTTATTTTGTCTTCATCAGCTTCAACTGGTCTTTCAGAACGTGGCACATTTTTAATGTCGAAATTTTGAAAACCAATTTTAACAATGGCATACTGTTAATTTTTTCATTTTTTTCATAGACTTTTTCATAACTTTTTTCTTGCCTGAACATTTTTATCTTTTTGGTAATAAAAAAGTAAAATATGCCGAAAATGCTTCTTTTGATTTTGCATCTTTGTTATTACACATGAAAAACACAACCGCATAGAAACAAATGAATTTTTTTTATAAATATACTATGAAATGTCAACTTTCAAAATATATAATAACAACATGGTTTAAAATAAAATTGGCTGGATAAATATTCAACTAGCGACATTCGTATGAAAAAACGAAATTATTTTCCGATCCACAATCCAATAATTTTCTTTGTGTCTTGGAAGAGAATTTTTAATTTAGTTAAAGTGAAAGCATTAAAGTGAAAGCATTATTAGAGATATTATATTGGTAATTTGAAAGAAAAAAATCCTATGATTCCATTTTCAATTAATGAGAACGACATGGAATAGATTTGGTTTTTGTTGGCAAAAAATAGTGGTATAGAGATTAGTAGTGTATCTATTATAACCCGTAAAAAATTCTTTCTTTCTTTTCCTTGTTTGATATTGGTAACTTTCGAAAATTTTATAATGTTGATGGCTGCTCCAGTATCGAATAACATTCGTCTGAATCCTGATATTCCTGGTAATTTATATTGGAATTGATAACAATTCGTTTTCACTGATACAATTGATTTTTGGTAATTCGTTTGCCAATCTTTCGATAGATTTTCAATGTTATTCATCCGAACTCTCGATTGAAATTTTCCGGTCTGGGCATTGTGAAAATTTTGGATATGATATGCATTGACTATGTGTTCTATTTTATCATTTTTATTTCTAAGCATTCTCTTGGAAGGAGGTTCCGTGACGAAGTGGATCTTTGTTTCCAGCTGACTTAAATTAGTTCTCAGTATAGATCTGTTATTGATAATTGGTCGTGATTCAATATGTTTAAATGTTATCTGAATTCGGTTTGTATTATTTAAGAATAGTTATATCCCTATTGCCATTAATTCTGTTTCAGTTAAGGTTTTCGGTTTACTAAGTATTACTAATGCTTCAAAATCTTTTTTCAAATTCATTAGATAAATTCTGATTGCTTCCTCTTCTTCGATTGCAATTTTTCTGTTGATAAGTTGCTGATATTTATTGTGAACAACATATATAAATTCATTTAAATATTGTTTGAAACATACATTAATTCGGTTTCAGTGAATCCTTGTTTGATGGACCATAGTTTATCTCTATAGCTATTGATTGTAGTTGGAATTGAGATATTGCATTAGGACATGATAAAGAGTTTCAGCAAACTCTATCCTCGTATATCTGATACTTCTGATACTTTTATATTCTAATACTTTTGCATTGTCTGTTATTTTTTCAATTATTATAAGTTTTAATAATAGTTCTTTTTCACTACACAAACTAGTAAATAAATTCCATCAATTTTATGAAATTTTTTACATCTTCTACATCATTTGTCTCGTAAGATTTCGATAATGCGAATGGCCTCATTCGCATTAATTTATGAATTGTTTCTCATTGATCTTTTTATTTGTCGTGCGTTTTCTCTTCTTTTTGAGTCACTATATTCGATATTTCCGTGAAAGTTTATTCATTCATTCCTAATATAATGGATTTTTTTGTTAAACAAATAATTCTCAATTGTTCTATTAGTTCTTTTATTTCGTTAACTCTTTTATCATTTTCTTCTTTTAAGATAAGTAATCTTTTGTTTATCTCTGTTATCATTTCTGATTTTCATTTAAATTCTGAAGCTTATTCAGAATTAACTTCAAGATATATGGCCGGTTCCATCAGCCATTATAATTGAGTCATGTCGTCGTCCAAGTCAAAGATGTTAATTGAAGAATTTTCTTCAATTCAATGTTTTTTAACATTAATTATCAGAATTAATTTATAACATTAATTTATAACAATATGTTAGAAAATATTCCGAGTGAAAGAATTGATAACAATCGCGATAATGCGATATTATTTATTATTGTTTATTAATCAATTAATTAAAGCATTTCGCTCAATTTGTATCTTACTTTATCTGTATAAAATTAACAATAACATTTAATATAATCACAGATTTCCTAAACATTTTTTTATTCAGCCAATTAATTTTCTCATCAAATATTTTAATAAATATTGAAATATATTGTAAAGGATATCATTTTAAACAATTTTATATAGCTGGTGATTAGTTTTTTCAAATTATTAAAAAAAATATACTATTACATAAAAAAAATATACTATTTAATACTATTACATTGAATTCTATATGTATTTCTATATATATTTATTTTCATATATTTATGTTATATTTATGTTCATAATAACATATTTGGTTCGTATAATAATTAAATGTATGTATATTATTGAAAAATTTTTAATATTTTGTTAAATTTAATAAATAATGTTAAAATGTTATATTTGGAGATGATTTCTTTTAAATTTAAAATGAAATTTAAAATAATTTCATCTTTGTATTTTTCGGAAGAATATCTAAATATTCAATTGAATTTTTCAGTTAAAATGTATTAAAAAATGTATTATTTTTACATTATTTTATATTAAATTTTATTTTATATCATTTTTATCTATCTTTAACTATCTAAAAATATAATTTAAAAAATATAATTTATTTTAGTTATACAAATATCTTTTATACATATTATATACATATAAAATAATAATATAAATAATAAAATAAAAATATAATATTTTATATAATCTATATATTTAATAGGATATTAATGTTGATAGATATTTTTAGAGATTCAATTTTAAAGAGATCAAAAAAACAAAAGTTAGTACATAAAAAATTAAAATTTTTATTTTTTCTTCGTTATTGTTTTGCTCTATATTCACTTTTATCTAACGCAAATTTTAATTGTTTACAATTTAATAAATAAATCTCAAGATAAATAATTTTTATATATCAGTTTTTGTGTTTATTTTGATCTGTTTAAATCATTAAATTTTGATTTTGAATTTTTTTTTTTAAATATTGATTAATCTTCCAAAAATATTTCATATATATATAGATATGAATAAATATTAAAAATATGATATAGTAAACTGAAGATTTTTAAAGTAATTTCACACAATATTTTTAAAAACCTTTATAAAAACTTTTTGGTTTTAACGAATTCTTAACAAAAAATACTAACCAATTAAAGTGCAAACTTGTCAAATCATAAACATCGGTAGCATTGAGTACAATGATTCAAAAATATTTAGATACTAACTTATGTTTAATTTTAACAATCTATCTTTATTAATTATGGAATAAATGAATTCAAAATTATTTTTTTCGATAGAATATTTATTATATTTTATAAATATATGCAATTTAAGTATATGTAATTAATTAAATCTTTGTATTCTTTTTAAAAAAGTATTAGGAATTACATCGAAAATGGATTAATTTTCTAATTTTCTAATTAAAAATTATAAATTTTGTTTCAAATAAACTTCTCCAGAATCTATATTTATTTGATTTATTTTTTTATTTATCATTTTTTTTTCAAATTTTTAGAATTCATAGTATATCATGATTACAAGATTTAAGAATTTCAAAATTACAATTCAAAGTCAGAATTCAAACTCAAAATTTAAACAAAAATATTATACTTATTATTAAAATGTAATAATGCAAACAAAATTTAAAAAAAATTAAATTCAATTCTTCTATTTATTATTTTGTTGAATTATAAATGATCAATACTGATGATCTATATTATTTTTCAGTAATGTTTTATTTGCAATCAATTTATGTACAAATTTTTCAAGAATAATTCATCTATCAATGTTAAGAAAGATTAATAGCATATTTGAAAGATTAAATTAAATTTTCAAATAAATTTAATTTAATTAATTAATGAATTATTCTTTAATTTAACATAAGCTGTAACTTATCATTATTTTTTTATTCCAAATATGTATTATTTATTGTTCATTTTATTATTATTAGGAATTTTTTATATTTTATATTGATTTTATCACAATTTTATATTATTTATTTTGAATAATGAATAAATTCAATTTATTCGTTCTATACGAATAGCAATTAATTAGTGAAGAAAATATATTGTTATGGTTCGACAAATCTATCTGATTGGTTAATTTTTATATAATAATTCGTTAACTAAACGAAAGTTTTTGTAAAAGAAAATATTGCTTGAAATTATTTTAGAAATCTCCACTTCATCAATCAGAATTCATTTTTATATTTATTTTTAGATATTTTTATATATTATTAAATTAAATTATTTTTTTTTATTAAATTATTCTTGAGATTTATAACTTATCTAAGAAAGATATTTCTTCTTGCATAGAAATATTTTTCCATCAATGTCCAAAACCAATTTCTATTAGGTCTAAACGAAAGGTCTATGATGATGTTGCTAAAGGATAATGCCATTTTTAAAAAATTTAATTTAAGATTACAATAATATAACTCTGAATGATATGTTTCAATCATCAACTGCATCCTCAATTATAATCAATATCATTCTACTTTTAATTAGATTTATAGTTAATACGCACAAATCATATACCCTAAATATCCTGTTCTTGTGCGACTGTTGTCTCAAGTTTAGTTCAAAAAATTTTCATTAAATTCTTAGATCATTCTTAGGAATTATTATCTATGACCGTCCCAAATTAATCTATTCCAAATTATCTATAGAATTTTCGTGGATAGTTTTTATAATTTATTTTATGACTTATTTATAATAATAATCTGAATCTAGAATTTGTATTCTCAACCTTTGACTACCAAAGATATCATATTAGGACTATTTGTAGAGTTTGTATATTGTCATCATATTCTGATTATTTGAATATGATCTAATTTTAGTATTTTGATTATCAGATACGATTAGTATATAATGTTAAAGTTCAACATGTTAATGAAAATGTTAAAGTATAATTTTGGATATTGTATAAAAAAGGATACCTCAACTAAATACATTTGTTTGAAGAAATTTTGATTAGATACAACTAATGTATGGTATTAAAATCTAATAAAGTTAAATTTTGCACAAAAAAGAATGCCTCAACTAAATATTATCGCTCAAAGAAATTAAATCTTATAAAATTATAATATTTATAATGTGAGCCTTGAATAAACTTAAATTTAATTGTGATTAATGATTGAATTTCGTGATTTCTAACTATAATTTGATCTGAACTGAATGAAATTTGATTGATTTTTTGATCGAATTTTGATTTTCTAATTTCTACAGCGATTAATTACAATCTGATTTATTTCTGCAATGAATAATAAAATAATATTTGATTTTTTGGAAAATATATGAATCTTGATTTTCCTTCCAGTAATTTTCGACGAAAATGTAAAGAGAATGTGAAAAACTAATGAAGGAATGGTTTCTAAAATAAATCTTCGTGAAATCTTATCGCAATGTCTGAAGATTTTTGCATTTCTCTGGTAATTAATCGCAAAACATTTGGCATGTAAATGTGACTTATGAAATGGTTATCACATATATTATATAGTTTTTTTTGAACTGCTTTTAAAAGTCTGAAATAATATGAAGAAATTATACTCACTTATAAATTATTGCTAAAAATCTAAATTGCTGGAAACTTAAACTGTTGAAAATACTGAAAAATAAAATTCAAGTTATTTTTATTTCACTTCATAAATCAATTTAGTTTTTATCCTTAATATATAATATTGTGAAGATCTTGATCGTATTCTAACCATCAGATACATTGTGAATTAATTGTGAAAAATAGCAATCTCTTATGATCAGCGTATTGCATCATTTTCAAATGTAATTCATTTTTTATTAAAAGTGCAAAAACCATTTTTCCAATACATATAACTTTGGCACCTACTACTACGTTTTATTTCTGCGATCGCAATCGCTCTGTATAAAAAAAAAAAATTTAACAGAAATTAACAAATCCGAAAATATATTTTTATTCTTAAATTTTTCATTGTACAAGTCAATGTACATAAAATACAAAAATAATATATATAATTAAAAAATAAAATATATTATCTTTTTATTTATCTTGATCTCTTTTATTTATCTAGATATAGAAAACAGAATATATTATAGAATATATTATGAATATAATAAATTTATTTATTTTTAATTTATTTTGAGATAAAAAAAACCGAATTAATTATTTACTTGATTTATATTCAAAATTATTTAATAGAATATTAAAATAAATACATTACATAAAAAATATTTATATATATATATTTTAAAATAATTATTATAATTGATCAAAAATAATTTATTTTTCTTAAAAATTCGAAATGAAATAAATTCTATATATATTATAATAAATATTATAAAAATATATCATTAATATATCATAATATTATAAAACTATATATTACATTTGTATTAATAATTTTTTTCATAATTAACATAATACAATTATATTATATATAATAGTATTTTATAATTATATATTGTGTATATACCAATTTTTTTATAAATATATTATTTTTTATTTATATTTATGTCACATAAAAATTATTATTTACATTAAATATTTAATTATTTCATATACTTCAAATCTATTAATTAAATTTTTCGCTATTACATGTGCATTTTTATAATTTGCAAATATTAAATATATATTTTAATGTATTTCTTAAGATATGTAAATTTTTTTTAAAAATTAAAAATTAATTTATTAAAAAATATAATTACTCAGAAAATTATTATTAAATTAAATTTATGAAAAAAAATTGTTTACTATAGATTTTGTTATTTTTATTATTTTTACGTTTCTTTTTATTTGTTTTGTAAAAATTAATCCATTATTTCTAATAATCGAATATTTTTTTAGGATGGTATATTAATATTATAATATTATTATAATTAAAAGAATAAACTTATCAATATTTTCGTGGATTTTGATTTTTATGAAAATTTGAACCAAGATTTTAAACAATTTCTTTTCAGTTAATCATAATTTTTTAATATTTGTAATAATACTATTATATATTATATTGAGCATTTCTGAAAATATTAACTATTATATAGAAACTTGGATAAATATTATCCATTAAGAATATAATATTTATCATTAAGAATTTGGATATTTTTCGAATCTAAAATGTAAGAATATATAAGTTACTTGATTTTTTAATTGAAAACAAGCAACAGTTGATGTATTTTGTAATATATTTTTAAAAATAATTAAAAATTAATTTTATAATTTTAACGATAATTAATTCATCTCGCCTGCAAAAACATCTCTTTCGCATTTATTCTATGATAAGCAATCGCATATCACGTAATGCGAAATATAATAAATATATTTTTTATATCTCGAAAATTAAACCCAATAATTTTATGTTATATATGTAGTATAAATATGATATTATATGTATTTTTTAAATCTTATCCTTTATATGTTTAAATCATAAAAATTAAAATTATGAGAAATAAGTTAATTGAATACTAATTATATACTTATATTTACTTTTGTGTATGTATGTATATAGAAAGTATTATTAAATTGATAGTATAATTTAAAAGAAAATGAGTTATCTATATAAAAAAATAGATCGGTAGTAATATTTAGTAAAATAATATTTTTTTGTACGGAATTTTATTTTTTAATAAATCAATGTTAAAGATTCACCAACTACAGATATAATTAACTAATTATATATATATTTATAATTAACTAATTAACTATGTATTTATATTTTAAAATAATTTTTGTTGCATTTATTGTATTTATGAACTTCATTATACTCATAATATTACAACTTATAGCTTGTTATTATTTTCGAAAAAAATTTTCTCTATTCTATCAATTAATTGAAAAATTAATCATTTTATATAATCCATGTTTCATAAATGTTTGAATTATTTACTCTTTGAATTATTCATTTATTAATGATTTGGATAACAATTTTTAATAATAATTAACAGTTATAAATTGTTAACATATATGAAAAATCGTATCAATATATATATATATATATTTCAATTTATTTATTTGAAATTCAAAT